CCCACTAAAGAAAAGTACTTTGATATTTCGTCATAAGATAGCAGTGCTGTAGCAGTATTTCGAATCCTTTCGTTAAGATAGCGCTACAGTCGTCCATGCATTTTATGCAGGTAGTTCTCACATATACGGGCAGATGGCCTTGCTATCTCATGTGATAAATGTCTCTCCTCTTTCTCTGAACTGCCTTACCTTCATAGAACGTTCAATTTAAGACCGGCCACTGTAAAATGAACTACTGAAGATGAAGTTACTGAAACCTTTTTATCCTTCATAGTCCTGAACAACGCGTATACAAACATTTCTGGAACTAATGGCCTGCTTTCCTTTTATGGCACTTTATTTGGTTCGCCACGGACCGCGTAGAAAACACCGCGTCCGAAAGCATTGTTTGTTGCTTATATGTTCGTTGCGGCGGGAACGTGTTTAGCAAGCCGTTGCCTAGCAACTGTAGCTGGTATACAGAAACACGCAGACTGCAAGGTAATTTTTCAAAATAAATAAGTAGGCAACAAATGAACACTCTTTGGTTTGAGGTTCCCACATCGGCAGTTATAATATCTTTTGGGCGTGACACCTTTAGTCCGGTAAAAGTTGAACATCTCGAGGAAGATAGCGCTGCCGTCTTCCGGACCGAATAGTAAGGCAAAATACTGCAAGGGGCAGGACTCAAATACAGATCGGTGTATATATTGAGATTCTCACAAGAGTGGTTGTGAAAAGTTCTGTTTCTGGCATGTAACTCATTGTAGACTGTTGATAGTCAAACCACGTTTTGGAGGGACATGTCGCCTCCGTCTTCATTGTAGAAGGCAAGTTAAGCACGACTCAGCAAGAAAAGCCAAGCTCTGATGCATATGTTCCATTTTTGTAACAAAAGGAGTGTATTTTTCTGGAATCATTTACTAATTAACAAACTAATTTAATGTAACTGAGCACTCCTTGAGAAGCTGCTAGTTGCGCAGCTACTCAGGAATTTCCCAACATCTTATGGAACCCGCAGGTTCATTACCGTATTCACAACAGCCCTCCACCGGTCTCTGTTCTGTGCCAGATCAGTCCAGTCCATACTACCAGATCCTGTCTCTCTAAGATCTATTTTAATATTATCCACCCACGTACATCTTGGTCTTCCTAGTGGTCTCTTTAATTATGGCTTTTCCACCAATATTCCAAATGCATTCCTCTTGGCCCCATTTGTGCTACATGCCCTGCCCACCTCATCCTCCTTGACTTGATCATTCTAATTATACTTGGAGAAGTGTACAAGTTATGAAGCTCCTCATTATGCAGTTTTCTCCAACCTCCTGTCACTTCATCTCTCCGGTCAAATATTCTCCTCAACACCCTGTTCTCAAACACCCTCAGTCTATGTTCCTCCCTTAATATCACAGATCAAGTTTTACACCCATACAGAACCACAGGCAAAACTATAGTTTTGTATATTCTAGTTTTTAGACAAAGAGCCTCGCTCTGGCTTAACTTTGTAGCGTCAACAAGAGCTCTTATCCCTGTTCCAGCCTGTACTTCTACAGGTAGTAAAACCACTCGCTTATCAAGCGATATTGCCTCTTACTGATGTCATAACCCAGTTAGTGCTTGAGCCGTATCTGGGTAATTCCCTGAGGGAACTGGTATAGGTGTGGCGCTCTGCATGCACATCCCAACCTGGATCCTGTCCATGGACATTCTCAGCCTCTCCAAGCACCTGCCGGGATGGTATTTTGATTAAGCCACGACCACTTCCAAATCTTTCTTCCATTATCGTTCAACACTATAGCCAGGCCCTCGACAACACCTTTAAAAATATTATTCACCCCCATTCCCTCAAAAGAGACCTACAGATGAGCGCAGCATAAGTTGGTATTAAGTCCTGCCCTTGTACTCAACAAGGAGTTAGTAACAGACCGAGGAAGGCCCGTAGGGTTGTGAGACGTCGAGGCTCCCACATTTTCTCTAGACAATCGGCTCACAGATGGCGGTGAGGTTTTCAGCCTTACGCGCCGGCCGCCCTTTCCCTCCAGGAAGAATTCTGGTACTCATTTCTTTCAGAGGCTGGAAAGATTAGGTAAATTGGAAAATACAGTGACCTCATCGAGAATCGAACCCGCTACCTTCCGGCTTACAGCATAGTGCCTCAGCCGCTACCGCTAGAAAGAAAACAGTGCGACATATGAATATTATTCCTCTGTCTTCAGGGTCCAGGGTTCATCGAAAAAGTAAGTGCCATTTTACCAGACTACACGGCGTCATAACCGAGAAGACAGTAGGCCTGGTCTTCGTGTCTACCTTCCTGAGTGCCTTATCTGAAAAGGAAAAGCGTTTCTATACTTTTCGTGGCGGGCTGAGCCCTCAAAGTTTCGCGTGTCTTTTGTTTTATGTTTTCCAAAAGAGTGACACACACGTAAATCCTATCCAAGGATCTGGTTCCTACTTCCAAGAAGGTGCGTCCTGTTCCTGTTACAAATAACGGATCTGGTAACGGCTTTAAGGAGCATGATCACTGAACTATGCGTTGCACTGCCATGCCGAAAGATCGTTATTGACGTTTCGGAGCAACCTTGTGCCTCCATTTTGAGAGCAGACAAGGTATCAGGTTGCTGTGTCCTATGGGTTGATGTTTGATCTACTTTTATATACCGCATCATGATGTAAGGTGGAGTGGAGATATAGCTCCACGCATTGTTAATCTCGGCAGTATCTGAAGGAGAGTGGGACAGCTTCACTACCCTGGTCCGCGCTGTAAAGGAGGCTGGCTCGTCCCCAGATTAAATGTGGAAGCTGTCGAGAAGAGAATGTTTTGTTCCTGACGGGAATCGAATTCCAGTTCATATGTCATCTAGCCCGTAGGTTAGGCCACCTGTTTGACACTCCCACAGAAGCTACAGACACTACAGGTGTCTCCGGGTGAAATCACGGCTTTCTGGAGACATTTGAATGCGGTATGAAGCTATTTATTTATGAATTCTTCATGTGCAGACGAACATGTGTTGGGGCAAGATGATAGAGGTTATGTAAGAAATGACAACATCACTTGAATTAATGTGCGGTGCGATGTTACTGGAGATGCCAGTGTCATCACAGACGTAAGATCAGTCAACTGATAAGTCAAATATTTACACGCAAGGCAACTTGGGAGACGTGACAAAAGAATTCTTAAGCCGTCAGGAACCATATTTAAAGTTCATAATAGTTACATAAGTGAATGTGTATTTAACTAAGCTGTGCGCCTCTGTGGTCTAGTGGCCAGACTTCCTGGCTACAGATCCAGAGGTCCCGGGTTCGATTCCCGGCGCTTCCAAAATTTCTGAGAAGTAGTGGCTCTCCAACGGGGTCCACTCAGCCTCGTGAGGATAATTGAGGAGCTATTTCAAAGAAATAGCGGTTCTGGTCTAGAAAACCGAAATTAACGGCCGTGGGGATTTATTGCGCTGACCACGCGACACTCTCTATCCGCTAAAGTTGGCACTAACTTCGCCGACAAGCGGCGGTCGCTCGGTCGGTATAGTTCACTGGCGGACTACAGGCCACGGAGTACGTTCGTGCATCATCATCATCAGTAATCTGTCAGACGACAGGTCCACAGTCTCTTCCAAAACAGTTTCTCCACTTAATGCGATCTTCTGTTTTTGGAAAGAGACTATCCAGGAAAAGTGATAATGTGGTAGTTTTTCCATTTGCTTTCCACATCGCAGTACAACAGCCGTTCAAACCACTCTGGTCACGCATATGTGTACTAAAATTGAAGACTCATATAATGAACTTCCTTTTTGTTTGTCCATAACTTGAAAAGGAGAACCGGTTATAGGGATTTTCTACTGGCTGGACGTCCCGAGGAGCGAGGTTTCAATTCCCGGTAAGGATAACAAGAGTTATCTCCATAGCGGCTGGGCGGGCCCCAGAGCCAGTCAGGATGCTATGGAGACAACTCTGTTATCCCTATCGGGAATCGAGACGTCCAGCCCGTAGACAAATCCCTATAACCGGTAGGTTCGAGACTTCTGCACGTTGTAGTGACCGGTTCTGGGGCCCACAGCCTACTATCAAGTTCTTTCCCCGGGGATGAAGCTGACACTCAACCCCCGGGAAAGAACCACCGGTACCCATTGGATAGGAGGCTGGGTGGGCCGCAGAACCGGTGTGGACGCTGTGGGGGAAAGTCTCGAACCTACCAAGACTAGAACTGGGACCCCTCGGTCGTCGAGCCTGTAGGCAGTCGCAATACCGACTGAGCTGTCCCGGCTCCTCAGATGTCACATAGTTCTACGTATTGGATTGTAGTTCTTGTGTCTTCCGGGAGCAGGCCGAGGGCGGGCAGTGGCAGGATATTGCGCAAGAACAGAGATCATAACCAGTAGCCGGGTCTGCTGTCCCTGCGTCTCAGGAAAGCCATCGAAATTAAACGTCACGAAGCTGAGTCTTTCTTGAGAAGCTGTCAGTCGCGCAGGCATTCAGGACTTTCCAAACATTTTATGGAACGCGAAGTTTCATTGACATGTTCACTAGAGCGCGTCACTGGTCTCTGTCCCGAGTCAGCTAAATCCTTTCTATATCCATTCCTGTTTTTGTAAAGTTCGCTTAGATTTCTCGTAATGGAGTCTTTCCTTCTGGCTTTCCCACCAAGACCCTGTATACATCCCCCTTCCATATGTGCTGTATGCCCAGCCCATCTCATTCTCCCTGACTTGATCATTCTGATTATACTTGGAGAAGAGTACAAGTTATGAAGCTCCTCATTATGCAGTTTTCTCCACCCTCCTGTCACTTCATCTCTCTTCGGTCCAAATGAGGATCCGTCAAAACGCCGTCCAAAATTATTAATGCTGAAGGCGTCAACTACAAGATTTGTCGGAACATTCGACACTGCCCAGTTCGTAAAGCCGAAGCGAACATGTTACGTATCAGAAGCTTAACGTTGCTCATCTGACGGCTGATGCTATAGAACGTGTTTCGCGTCACATAAATGGANCTATACAGTAACACTAATGAAATACGTAATGTCCTTGCAACGGAAATGGGAATACTTGGTCACCCTAGCTACTCAAGCTTCGTATGCTGTGTCACCAGACTCTGTTCTGCAGGTCGGTGGTTTTGAACCCGTCTGCCGCTATACTTTATAGAGAAGAATTCTTATAAGTAATAAAAATATGAATTTGCATAAACAATAGAGTACTCCATAAATTCATGCAGCGTGTTGATGTACGACAGTTCTTTGCCTGGTACCCCAGAAATTGTGTAATGAGTTGTGGAGCCAGAATAGGCGATCGTTGCTAGGCAACCAAATCACATGACCGCAGCAGCCGACACACGCAACAATAGAAGAACTGTTGGAAGGGATGTTTTCTATTGGGTCCGCCCCGAGGCTATATCACAAGGACCCCAGGCCGGCGAGTCGTGAGTCATGTTACAGGTGTTCAGTAAATCCATTTACCAATCAAAACCCCATGTCTAGACACTAAATACGTGACAGTATGTAGCCAAGGAAGTGTAACTGTGATTATTGTGCACAACATCAACAATTCTTCACAGATGTTTCCAGTATTACTAATGTTTTATACGCCTCCTTCATTGCACTTTATTTTGTGTTTGAGCGTCCTGCTGCGTTAGTTAGTCGCTAGAGAAATCACAAACACACACAATACAGTCTTCAGTGAAGATTCACACGTTACTGCATAAATCACCGCTTAGTCCATGCTTTCATGCAAATGGCGGCCGGTCCTTCCAGAAAATTTGGTATGTGTGTACCAAGTTGCACGACGTCACAGCTCTGCAGATGATGCAGCGTGGTTAAATGATCACACAGTCACTGTGACATCAGTTCTTTCCTTGTGACCTCATCCTCCCACCACAAGTGATTTTCATTATGTTTCCTGACTTTCCGTATCTTCAAGATGGCGGCTGCAAAAATAACGCACGCAACAATAGCAAACGCCGTGATGATTATGATAGGAAACGTGCGAGACGGGGCCACTTTGGAGCCTCTCACAACAGATTTCTCTTCTGTTGTAGCATTTGTGGCAGACACAGTAATTTCTGTTGTCACTGTAGTTGTTGTTGTCGTCGTCGTCGTTGTTGTTGTTGATGGTGACGGTGATGGTTGACACTTGTCTTCTAAGATTCTCCATGACTTACCGCTCACTTCTGCAGGACTTTGGCATACTAGCGTGATGTTGCTTGTTTCCACGCCTAATGCTTTGTAGACTCTGTAGATGACGTCACAATTACAGTTCCAAGGATTTCCTGTAAAACACAAAATCAACGAAACCATTCTTAAATATCCCCAGATAGTGGCATAGAGAGGGGCAGATAGAAGTGACAAGAAGACGAGGAAGAAGATGTAAGAAGATGCTGGATGACCTTGGGGACAGAAGAGGATACTGTCATTTGAAGGAGAAAGCTCTAGATCGCATTAAGTGGAGGAATTGTTTTGGAAGAGACTGTGGACCTGTCGTGTGACAGATTACTGATGATGATGATGATGATGATGATGATGAGTGACATAGATCGTCACCAGAATGTCACTAGATTATATTTTGAAGATACGATGACAACCCAAGTTCAACTCACAAGACTTTTCCTTCCGTAATGTTGCGTGTTCGAGGCATGACGCGCCATCAGGCAAGTTTTAGGTATACTTCAATGTAGAAGAAGAAGTAGAAATGTAAAGTCATCTTTTTTAAAGAATTATAATTTTTCAGCAGACTGAATTGTTGGTGCCTTTGTCTTTACAATTTTTACCTTCTTCTTGAAGCTGCGTGATGTGAGATTGAATTGTCCATATACCATCAACAAGTAGGCGCATGTGTGTACTGCGCATGCTCTCCGTTCGGGATATGGTCATTTGTCAGTATCAAAGTACACAGCGTGCGCGTGAAGTAAATGTTATTCCGATGTTTGAAGTTTTCTTTGATGTCCGCAGAGAGTTTCAGTAAAGTAGTGCAGTGAAGCAACTACCTGAGGACGACCTTAGCAGGTCGAAAGATATCAGAGAAGTATCACTTATAAATAAAGCGATAACTCAGGAGACCAACAGTCTACGAGCGCGACATTGAGTTCCGCCTTCAAGACAGCTCCTGCAAGTTAAACCTAACTAAAGGTAAAGCTATCCCTGTAACAAGCCGTGGAGGCCCATAGGGTTGTGAGACGTTGAAGGTCCCACATTTTCTAGACAGTCGGCTCACAGATAGCGGTAATGTTGTCAGCTTTACGCGCCGGCCGCGCTTTACTCCCCAGGAAGATTACTTGTACTAATTTGTGTTACAGGCTGAGTCGACCCCAGGGCCATAGTGCGGCTGGAAGGATTAGGTCAATTGAAAAATCCAATGACCTTCCTTCTTGTACTATAAGTGCCTCAGCCATCTACGCTACCACGTGCCCCAGATAAAAACAAATTTTGCCTTGATATCAGAAGAAGATGCGTTAACTCGACCTCATGGAACAACGAGTCTGCGCAGTAGGAACTGAATGTGGCTTAATGTACGCACCTGTGAAATTAATATGAGTCCCAGCGTCCCGTATCCACTTTGCAGTCTCGTCATCCACTGTGCTCAGATTGTTGAAGCTTATGTCGATGTTCCTGACGCTCGTTAAGGGAAGGAAGGTCCTGTAATCCAGTTCACTTAAATTGTTTGCTCCCAAGTCGATGACGCGAAGCTCACGTGTCGCTACAAAGACACATGGATCCAGAGAACTGATGTCGTTGTTGTCCAACTTCAGAACGTGCAGACTGTAACTGAGGGCTTTGTATGGGGAGCAGACTGAGGGATTGTGAGTGCGAGGGAGCAACGGTTCGGATCCCATATATATTTCTGGACCTAGTCGAGTGAGTCTGTTGTGTGATAGGTCTAGCTGTTTCAGACTGAAGAGTCCGTATAGCGCTTGTGGGGCCAGGCTTGTTATATAATTGTGTGCCATTGACAAAGTTACAAGCCGACTGCAGTTCTTAAAAAGCAGGGGACTGATAACTTTTATCTTGTTTGTGGATAACACTAAATGCTGTATCTGGCTTAGGCTCTCGAAAGAATTCTCAGATAATGTTTCTATCTTGTTGTGCGATAAGGACAGCCATTGCAGCTGAGAAAGAGAGACAAATGAGTCTTGATGCACGAAACGGATTCTATTTTCCGAAACGTCCAAATGCTTCAAATGATGTTGAGTTTTAAATATGACTCGACTGATACTTTGAATATTATTGTGGCGTAGATGCAGGAAGTTTAATTGTCCATTCGAGTCAAATGTTCCATCTGAAATATGGTTGAGGTGATTGTGTGAGAGGTCGAGATGTTGCAGTTTTTTCAGTGAGCCAAAGACAGTTTCTTCAAGGTTTGCGACGCTGTTGTTGGACATCACCAACACTCTGAGCTCTGGGATGAATGAGAATATGCCTTTTGCAATTCTCTCTACCAGGTTTCCGGACAGATCCAAGTACCTCAGTTCTGTGAGACCTTTGAAGGCCGTCACTGTAATGTTGCGTATACTGTTATTTCTAAAGCTCACATTTTGAACTGAGGCAAAACCTTTTAGATCATCTTCAGTAAGAGTGTCCACTTTGTTTCCAGCCATGTCCAGTATGACAGGAGTAAAATTAAAAGCGGTCCAAAGGGGTGCATACCCTATTTCAGTGTAGCTACAGTTCACAGTGTTGTCGTAGCATCGACACACAGAAGCACACGTGTCTTGTGCTGTTGTTTGGTGTGACACGAACATCAATATTAAAAAGAGTAGTGAGGACATTGCAGATGTGTCCACAGAGCGGTATGTTATCTTGTATCTAATGACGCGATATTTAACAAGTTGCTTATAAGTAGTGTTTTCGTGTTAAATTATCAGTGAGATTTTGGCTTCAGCACTTTCAATCTACCTTGACCTGTGGGCATAATTAGGGACAATTAATTAATTCGCTTAGTGGGGGGTGGAGTCCAGCTGGGTCCACTCGGCACGGCGGCCACTGATTGGCCTATTGTAGCCTGCCCCGGGTGATTATGATGATGAAAAATTTGATGGAATGAAGATTGGCAGGGGAAACCGAAGTACCCGGAGAAAACCCACCCCAGCGCCACTTTTTCTACCACAAATGCCACTTGACCAGACCCGGGATCGAACGTGGGCCGCCACGGTGGGAAGCCAGCGACTAACCGCTTGAGCTATTGCGATGCCTTAATTAGGGACAAACTCGGGACCTTGTTTGGAACCTGTGTATCCAACAAGGGTACCAGCTTTCAATCAGTTAGTGTTGTTAGTGCTTTCTTAATAACAAACACATGCCTAGGAAGTGTATAAAGTGGATAACATGTACCCGCGATTTAAGCTTTCAAGTATGAACAAGAAACACCTAACAAGATTTCGCAAACCGAACTCCCGACATATTTACGCGTAGTTCACGCACTTTCCTTCGATATGAAAATAAATTTTACGATTATCAAGACTTGAATGCAGACATAAATCTGATGATCGCGTTGGTGGTTGCTCCTATACTACGTTTATGATTTGGTCTGCGGTAATGATTATGTTTTTTCATAGTTTTAACAATATTAAAGATGCAAGTGTGAACACCTTCCTTTAATTATAATGCAGTGTTACGTTCACACATTTTCCACGTGTATGGGCACCAATTCTTTCTACATGTCACTAGATAAATATCACACTCCCAAGAAAACTATATGTTATCAGAATAGATGACAGTTTTTTATAATAATTTCAGTTTACACGAACAAGAGCAAAAACTCGCGTTATGATTCTGAATTGTGCTTATAAATTAAGCACAGGTAGTCGTAAGTCACACAACTTGTAACTAAATAAAGCTACTTTTGAATCACTCACTAAACTTCTGTATATGTTGAAATAATCTCAGGTGTACGTTGTTTAACGACACTTTATAAATTCCACTGATTTGATCGCATGTATTTCACACACACTTCAGTAGTAACACCACACTTCAGTAGTAACACATGTAACACCCGAGAACTGAAAGCTTAGATGTTTTTGCCTTTAACTTGGGTTTCAACCAACCACAACTTACACTTGTCAGCAGACGTTCACTTACAAATCACTTACCACTTCTGCATTGCTGTGCAGTACCACGCAAATGCCGGGTAACTCTGAAAGCAGCAAAATTTCTAGAGCGAACTGGTCCTGATACCAGCTTACGTTCTCGAATTTATTTCTTGTTTCATTCCATTTTTGTCTATTTCTGAATTTTGGTAAACGCAAGAATGTTTTCTGTTTTACTTCTTTTCTCGATTAATTAGTTCCACGTTCTTGATGAAGGCAGTCGGTATATTTTCTCGAAATGATTCAGTGTTCTGGTACATTCTCAGGTTATCTTTGTTGACTGATAACATGAAGAACAGGAGAGATAAAAATTGTGTCTGGATAAGTAAGGGACGTTTTGATCGCATTACAGCAAGACTGAATTGGTTAAAATTGTTCTTTGGTTTTAAACTGGTTACATAATTGTAAGTTTTGAGGTTTTCACGGCGATGACTATGAAGAAAGTCGTCTTCTGGGTTTAGGCGCCGTGTATTTTTCGAGCTACTGCTCTCTGCATTCCAAGCCATTCACCTGCTCTGAAGATGGAGGCGATACGTTCCTCCGAAACGTCGACCAAAACGAAGAATACACGGCGCCTAAACCCAGAAGACGACTTTCTTCATGGTTACATAATTGTTTCTAAGAAAGCAAAACATATTTTGAATTTATATTTTATTTATCTGTTTTTAAACTGCGTAGATCCTACCCGTGTGTTTTTAAAACGCAAACAGGCCACACTGTATGGGCTAGAATATGGTCTCTAGGTTAAATCTGTTTATGTAATTTGTATTTATAATGACACGAGAAAGAAATAGGTACTGCAAAGTATGTGTATGTAATAATGTTAAGAAAATATATGTCTTACAACATGTATTTGCAGTAACATGAGGAACTTACTCTACCTGCAGATAGTTCGGGGGATGGCTGTCACCATTCTCCCCAGAATATTTTTCTTCTCTGCCACTTTCTAAAGGCGCAAATATTGTGACATGAATAGATGGTCCGTTGCCACGCAACGGCTACGCACCCAACAATGGAAGAATTGTAAACTGTTTTCTCTAAGGTCAGTGCCGAAGTTATATAAGGAATCAGTTGTGAGAAAGCCCGTTTAGAGACGGGTTCTAATATCTCCACCCTAGCCCTGCGAGTCGTAGGAGGCCCGGTACCTAGGGGCATAACTAGGCCGATCTGTTCATAGGGGAACATGAATACGGGGACATGGCCATACAGGTTGGGGAAGTCTCGAACCTGACACAATAGAATATGGCCATGAGTCTCGCGGGACTCAGACCCGAGAACGACTGCACTGGCGAGGGCCAGCAACAATTCTGAACGACAGATCCTTTTTCAGAGAGGGCGCCTGACATTAGCAAACCCTTAACTGCCTGACTAACAAAAATCTGGTCTTGGGGTCCCATATGTGCCTTGATACCGTGACAGGCTGGTAGACAAACCGTCGGTCGTTACATAACATACGTGGTATGATGTTGACCAGTCACCTCCAACTGTGGTCGAGGTTAAGAATCGTGGAGCTGTACCTCCGCTCCTTTATGCATTTCCATACCGAGCTTTTCAGTTTAGCGGTAACGGTCAAAACTTGTTATCGGGACGTGCTTTGTTCGAATCTTGGACGGGATATCGGCTATTTTGAATGAGGTTTTTTCATGGTTTTTCTCAGTCCCTGCAGTCAAATACCGAGGCAGTACCTCGATTAGGTCTGCCGTTTTCTTCTATACTCTTTACAATTCATCAATTGTTAGACATGCAGTGCGACATGGTCACTCGTTACTGACAAAAAAAACGCCGTAGCCTGTAGTCCGCAAGCGAACTATAATGACTGAGCGACCGTCGCTTGTCGGCAAAATTAGTGCCAACTTTAGCGGATAGAGGGTGTCGCGTGGTCAGCGCAACGGATCCCCACGGCCGTTAATCTCGGTTTTCTACACCGGAAACTCTATTTCCTTGAGATAGCTCCTGAGTTATCCTCATGAGGCTGAGTGGACGCCGTTTGAGACCCGATAATTCTCAGAAAATCTGGTAGCGCCGGGAATCGAACACGGGACCTCTGGTTCTATAGCCAGGAACTCTAACCACTAGACCAGAGGCGGTCACGGGTACCATGAACAAGCGAGTAGTTACGAATTAAGTTTTAAAGACAGTTGCATAGTTAGAAGTCAACTGTTTGGACACGGTGTTTTTTGCAATGACCCGAGGCCTCTCTTTCTTCATTTGTCCACTCAACTCACTTGGGACGTTTCGACTTGCCGCTCTTGTGAAAGTTGCGCATTTGTATGACATGGCGCTGTTCGCGATAAGCGGATCACGTATGCGCACTGCGATACTGTTGCACTGTTGGCTCCCCTGCGTGTTCCTGCGCAGTAGTCTCCGCGCAATACTAATGTAATGGCGTAACAGCGTAACGAGTGTTGCTATGGATACAGGAATTTATATCTGCTGTTGGCTCTTGCCCCGAAAGAAAGTGAAAAGGACAAAATCGTTCAGAATCCATTTGTTCCTATCCAAGTTACACGCAGTGTTAGTTTCTCGTGTAACATTTTGTAACGTGGTGTTACACAAGGTGCTTAGAGACATTCAGGGTGTCTGGATGAAAGGTACCCAAAACAAAATCATTATATCTCAGAAAGATTTTATTATACACATTAATGGGTTACACCATTACAAAGGGAAACTATCAACGTTTTTTCTGCATATATAACTTTCTCAATAAATTTAAATGCGGGCTCCCTTGGTGGCACAACAAATATCCATGCTTGAAGCATTTTTGGTGTTACCGTAGCCACAGCGTCCCTTATGCGGGCTTTCGGGTGTTTAAGCTCGTTGTTCTTAACCTGGTAGACAATGTTCTTCACATAACCCCACAAGAAAAATCCAATGGGATTAAGTCTGGCGACCTAGGAAGCCAAGCGATTGGTCCACGTCTGCCAATTCATATCCCAGCCATCTCNCTTCCAACCACGGTGGCCCGGGTTCGAGCCTGGGTTAGGTCATGTGGGATTTGTGGTAGTTAAAGTGTCACTGGGGCAGGTTTCCTCCGTTTCTCCTGCCAATTCTAATCCCACCGACTGCTCCACAATCACAATCATCTACCATCCGGGGCTGATAGAGTAGGCCGAGCAGTGGCACAAGTGGATTCAGTCTCATCCTATAAAAATGAGAGGAATCTACAGGGGACTAAGGAAAATTACATAATAAGGAACTCTGATAAGGTGCATTACTTCACCAAATATTATTAGGAGGGTGAGATGGTTCATCCCTCTTCGGTCCAAATATTCTCCTCAACACCCTGTTAAGGAGTTAACTTGTGAAAAACAAAAACCTGTAATCTGATTGTTTGAATGTTGAAGTTCGTTTTGGAATTTGAAAGCACTTGGAAGCGAGCGTTGCGGTAACGGTGAAAGTCCTTACTCAAGATAACAGAAGTGGAGGCATTACACAGAAATCTACTTTCCACTTTAAAAGTATCCGCATGTAAATAATGCAATGATTTCCCGTGCTGACACGCGTTAGGGACACCATAGTGACGCGTCTGTTATC